AAATAATAACAAAATATACTTTTAAAAATGATTACCATTTCTTTTCCTCTCCTCCTTTTTTCCTGTTTTCTCTTACTCTCCCTTGAATGTTTTTATTTTCATGTCTTTTTCTTAAAAACGCTTACGTTTTTTGTAATCATCATAGGCAAATCATGTGAATTGAACACGTGTACAACACGACACGTGACACACACAACCAGTTTAAGTGAGCGGAGTGACACGGATTCATGATCCGACACCATCGATTAATAACTAAATACATGATCGTCATCTAAATCATCCAAATAAAAACAGAACAAATGAAAGTAAACTAGTTGATTTGCATCTGTATGAACTGCACTCGTTCGAAGTATAAACTTCTCGTCAGTCTCTGTTTACACACTGAATTACTTCCGTGGACGCGCTATCGGAATGGTCCATTGTAGTGGGGACTGAGGGGGGAGAGGGGTTGCTGAGATACTAGTTACTCATAAATTATAGACATTGTGATGCCATTTTAGCGTATGGATTTTTAGAATGGAATTTTTAATTAACGAAAAGTTAAAATTAGATCTTAACCAAAAGTTTATTAGGTGTTTTATGGGAGTTCTGGGCCAAAAGCCCTACCTACCTTTGCCTAATGGTTAAGTCTGTCTCTGCTGACTTTGTTTTTCTTTACTACCTCATCGGACTATTATACACGTCTGCAAGGTTAGAAGACTAACTTTTCCTGTGTAACTAGGGATGCTAGACATGGAGCCTACATGTGGATGAGGACATATGTGGGGCCTTTGAAATGCTGACAGTTGCAATGGCGGCACGTTGCAGCATTATCTGCCCATTTCTGACGGCTTGAATAACAAAGTAAAAGGGTGTGCTGGTTATGTGTTGCAGCAGAGGGAACGATATGTGAAACCCTTTGCTGGGCTGCCTAAATTAGCTCAATCAAGCTTAATGGGATGGGTAATAGAATTACTTTCGATAAAAAATGGGCTGTAAAATTAATTTATCTTAAAGACATGATCTATAAAATTAACTTCTGCTATAGAATCCGAGACAAGGAATTAATTTCTGAAAGAAAAGCTATTTATGTTAAACTCTAATCGTATACTTGGTGAGCATTGTGTTTATTATCATTATTTGATTTAACAAGCTGTTTAAGAAGGCTGGCTCCGTCATCAGCTGCAAACCGGACTCTTCTGAAGTGGTGGTGGAGAGGGGCACTGAACAAACTTGTTATCCATCGTGGACCTCCCGAGTACCCTCCACCACCTAGTGGACAGACAGCGGAGCAACAGACTGGTACAGCTCTGCTGCCGCAAGGACAGATAGAAGAAATCGTTCCTCCCAACAGCACTATGACTGTACAATTCCTCAACTCTATCAAAAGGTGACCCTCAAAATCATTAGCCCTATAGTTTCTGTCCACACCAAAACCAATAAATTTTTTGCACATCTTCTATTCATATTCATTTAGTTATGTTTATAACATATACATTTGCAAACAACTACTGGAACTTTGCACGCTTGTCTTTTTTGTCTATTGTTCTTCTATTTATTTGCGACGACCTTGACAAACTGCTGTAACAAAATAATTTCCCAATATGGGATCGATTTATCTGTCCGTCTGTCTATCTGTCTATAATTAAAGATTGTTAAAATTATTTCATCCAATGAACCCATTTGTCTGTTTCACTAGTGAGCAAAGGGTCACAGTGTGATTATTAAGCCTGTTATCGCTGTGCTACCACAGTAGGTCAATGGTAAAAAGAAAAGCATGATATTTTGTTAGAACATCATGCTATGTGAAGTCATGAACTCCAGTAACCCAGAGAAGTCAGACGAGCTTTACTGGCTACGTCATCATCAGGGCCCCGCCCTGTAATCACCCTATCTCCCAGCGACACCCTCCTGCCTGTTGTCATTGGATTAAACCTCACACCCCCACTCTGTGATTGGCTAATTTATATGCTTCCCAGAACACTTCAGCGTGTATACCCACGTGTCTCAAACCAAGTCTGCACTTTAACGTTCAGAAAGCCCGGTCCTGTAAAATTCAACAGGAACATGTAAAGGTTTATGGGCTGCTTTTAGAGAAAAGGAAAAAGACGAATGCCTGAAGACGTTATGCATATGATATCTGTGTTGTAGGCTTTAAATGGTACACATCATTTAATGAGAGTTCTCAATAAAGCAGACTGTCCCTGTTTCACATTATGCTTTATAATAATTCATAAATAACATGCCACCACGCAAATAGGTTACGATATTATATTAAACCATCCAAGATAAAATGGTACTCAATCCAAATACTGTCTATTTCATACAACTGCCACTAGGGTCCAATGATAATTAGTCAGTAAGCCACGTTTCTCGTTAACATTATACCGCAAAACATCCACATGCTTTTGCATTGTCATGACGAGGTTATTAATGTGCTCTGTACAGTTTCTCAATACTGCTATTACCGTTAAATGCAAAATTAATTGACCAGAACGTCATTGGACAAACATTATTTACATGATTTATTTCATCTTTGGGGAGAAAACTCTTCATGCCATTTGGTCGTCTGATACAGCTGTCACCAGCAGTCTGGGTAGGGGATGGGAGGGTGATTTGAACTCTAGTAACCCCATCTCGACAGTTTTTTTCTTCTGTCCGACTATACGGGGGCGTTCAACGAATTACTCCATCACTGGCTGTATCCAAGAGGCCTGCCTCTGTTCTCATTGGACTGTACGAGCTGTCAGCCCATGTGGCGTGGCCAGACAGAATGTGAGATTTAAATTCATCGGAGGAAAAAGAATCACTGATGCGCCGAAGGTAACCCTTCACACAGGGGAAACGATAGAGGCAGCCTTTCCTCCCTACAGTTTAAGTTCGAGGAACACTACCGTGGACTATCGAGCTAACGCAAATAACGAGGCACTACATACCATTCAAGCGCCGACATCTCACCAAGTGGCTCGAACTTGTGATTTTGCAGAGACATCACACCGTCGGTGAAACACAGGTAAGTTCGCTGGTGGTTACTAGCTTTGGGGTTCAGCTAGTTATGTCGTCACTGACATGCATGACCGTGTTTCTTATTGGTATAACCTGTCATTGTTATTTGTTTACAGTTAATGACAGTGTTTTATTAAACCGAAAGTCCTTTAATTTGGCGTGGCAAGGCAATTTTAACTTTAAAAAGGAATGACTTGACATATTCTCTTGGTCAATATTTTTTTTCACCTCGACATCACCATATGCAGATTTTAACTAAATGAATTGTAACTAGGAAAAGAGCTGCATTTTTTTTATTCCTCTTGATGGAGATTAACTGTGTTGATAAGACAAAACTAGGAATTATTCCTCAGTAGTATCTTATTCTTCAAATATTATGTGTTTCAATATATTGCATTAATTTTTAGTACTGATTATGGCTAAAAACCTTTATAAATTAACAAAAATGTTAACACAGATTCATATATACCGCAACCCCACAGTCATCAGGGTTTGTGTTACTTTCTCAACAGTCATAATCAAGGTGATAATGTTGCACAGACAAATTAGTGGTGGAACATTCAACATGCACACTGTAACAGCAGTGTGGTGAATGTTTAATATGATGCATCTGCATGGATGCATTGAGAGAACTGCATACATTTCGCAGCAAAATAATCCCTGCAGCTTAATCACCAAGAGATGGCTAAAAAAGTGTGGACGGGGCTCCTCAACATAGTCCATTATTACTCTTTGTAAAGTATATATCAAGTCATGAGGTTGGTACTAAAAGTAATTTAATTTCTGAGTGACAATACGGCTGGTATTAAAATATTTCTATGTATATGTATATCTATAGTATATGTGACCATTAGGTGTTACAATATATCATAGAAAAAAAGATGTGGTGAAACTCGTCCAATAAAAGCAATCAAGCTACATTACAGTCAGTGGTGAAAAAAGTGTTCAGATCCTTTATTTAAGTACTTCAGTATCAGTACCAAAATGTGAGCTGCTTTTAGACATGCACTGAACTTCAGGGAATCTCCGGACATTCATGCAGAGGGCTGTACGTGAGAACACAAAAAGTAAGTCTGAGTTAGAGCCTCCTGATTTTCTCAGGAATATTCCCGGTCAGCCTCCAGGTAAAAACTAGACCAGATGACGTTGTGAAAAAACAGCTGGAAACAAAACAAAACAAAAATTAAATTAAAGACAATATCTCACAGTGACTACGAATATGTCAAGAGGACTTTTGGTGATAGGTGATGCATCAATGTCAACGTATGTGAACAAAAACACGTGATCCCCACAGTGGAATTAATGTTACATCCTGCCTCTGTCTGCTGAAATACCTCTGTGAGATTTCTGTGTTGTGAATACGTTGTTCATGTGTGAAAAGCACACTTTGGAGAAGTTCCGGCTCCATTCTGTGGACATTCATAGTTAAAGTATTAAACTTTTTAACTGCTCCTAAAGAAGCTCTACCTCCCACATTCATGCATGCGCAGTGCCAAGGCAGCCACTGGTCTCAAAAAGCTGAAATTAGACACCTCAGACCTAAGTAAATGGGACAACACAATGCTGACCTATTGGTTCTCTTAAACAGCAAAAGTTAATTAACATTACCCACCTGACAAGCAGAAAAAGTGGAACCTCTTCACCCCTTTTCATCCCTTTCAACTCTCTGTGGTCTTTTCACAGCTGAAATGCATCACTGATGTTCACGCAGATCTTCGCCCTTTTATTACTTTGTTATCTTCACTGGGTTAGCTATGAAATTGATATTGGGTATAACATTCCATGAGATAGTGGTGTTAGCATTTCCAGTGGCTAACAGTAGTTGTTTCACTTTGTAATACGTTATATGATCTTACATTTTCATGTTGTCCTCTAATCCCTCGATAGTAGAAGGCAGAAGAATCATTACATTATGGATAAGAGTACCTTTAGCCCAAGAGGATGTTTATGACTGTTTATGACTCAGGGAAACTGTTTTCCCCCAGTCCAGTGCACAAACACAAATACCCATGTTGCTAATTGGTTGGAATAGTTATGTGCTGTTTGGGTAGCCCGGTTGTCGTTGTTTCCCTAATACAGAAACAGGCCTGTGTATATAAACCAGTTATAGAATTTGATAAAAACTGTATTGGATTAAAATCAAGTTTTTTACTACAAACCTTCCAGGCTAGTAGCGTGTTAATTACAGTGAAATATTTATCCATTTATTTTTTAATTTCTTTGTTGTTTATAAAGATAAGACAGTCCAAAGGCATACTAAATTTCGGGGGTTTTGATTTGTAGATAAATAACATGGCAAAATTTGAAAAAGAAAATAAAACCTTATCCCTTTATTCTTCCTATCAGGGACAGCTGTAGAGTGCAGCATTTAGACATATCCATTTTGATCTTATCTATTAGAGGGGTGTTGTTATCCTTCAGCAAATTATCTAAATGTGGCGTAATATTTATTCCCAAATACTGAATTCCATTGCAAGGGACAATACCTCTGCATTTTTTTCTGTTGGTGTCATATGTAGGAGGCAAGCGTTGGCTTTGTT